CAGGCTGTTCCAGAGATGAGACACAGTAACAAGGGGTCATAATTGGAAGTTGAAAACTCAGATGAATCACAGGGATGTTAGGAAGTATTTCTTCAGCCCTAGAGTTGTCAGGAAGTGGAAAAATCCGGAAAGTGAGGTAGTGGAAGCAGGCACCATACATAACTTTAAGAAGAGGTATGATAAAGCTCATGAAGCAGGGAGAGAGTGGACCTAGTGCCGAACAGTGAAGAGGCGGGAGGCAGAAGCTATGAATCGACTCCTACAACCACAATTAGGTGAGTAACACACACACACTGACCGTGTTTTCTTCCTGGCATCTTAGTAAATATTCCAATAAAACTATTGTCTCTCATGGCCTCCAGTTAAATATTGTTATAGAATATTGAAAGCCATATTTTCTCTCTCTCTCTCTCCTCCATGTCCTCCATACTCTCCCCCCTCCCTCCACCTCCTTCATCCCTTCGACACCGAAAAATTTGAGCCTGACAATCTCCATCTTTTTGTCACCGGAAATGTGATGGAGGTAAAATGCTGGGCTCGCTAATCGTCCGTCTGGCAGCGTGACCCAGAGTGTCGTCCGTCTGGCAGCGTGACTCAGAGTGTCGTCCGTCTGGCAGCGACGTTCAGAATTTCGTCTGTCGTGAGTCGTAGTCCAATATTTCGTCTGTCTGGCAGCGTAGCCCAAACTATCGTCCGTCTGGCAGCGATGTTCAGAATTTCGTCTGTCGTAAGTCGTAGTCCAATATTTCGTCTGTCTGGCAGCGTAGCTCAAACTGTTGTCCGTCTGGCAGCGAAGCCCAGACAACAACTCCAACACTACCCACCAACATCAGCCTCACTACCCACCAACATTACCCTCACTACCCACCAACATCACCCTCACTACCCAACAACATCTCCCACACTACCCACCATCACCCTCACTACCCACCAACATCACCCTCACTACCCAACAACATCTCCCTCACTACCCACCAACATCACCCTCACTACCCAACAACATCTCCCTCACTACCCACCAACATCACCCTCACTACCCACCAACATCACCCTCATTACCCACCAACATCACCCTCACTACCCACCAACCTCACCCTCACTAACCACCATCACCCTCACTACCCACCAACATCTCCCTCACTACCCACCAAACACAACCCTCACTCCCCACCAACATGACCCTCACTACCCACCAACATCACCCTCACTACCCACTAACATCACCCTCACTACCCACCAACATCACCCTCACTACCCACCAACATCACCCTCACTACTCACCAACATCACCCTCACTACCCACCAACATCACCCTCACTACCACCAACATCACCCTCACTACCCACTAAGATCACCCTCACTACCACCAACATCACCCTCACTACCCACCAACATCACCCTCACTACCCACCAACATCTCCCTCACTGCCCACGAACATGACCCTCACTAACCAACATCACCCTCACTACCCACCAACCTCACCCTCACTAACCACCATCACCCTCACTACCCACCAACATCTCCCTCACTACCCACCAACACAACCCTCACTCCCCACCAACATGACCCTCACTACCCACCAACATCACCCTCACTACCCACTAACATCACCCTCACTACCCACCAACATCACCCTCACTACCCACCAACATTTCCCTCACTAACCACCAACATCACCCTCACTACCCACCAACATCTCTCTCACTACCACCAACATCACCCTCACTACCCACCAACCTCTCTCTCACTACCCACCAACATCTCCCTCACTACCCTCCAACATCACCCTCACTACCCCCAACATCACCCTCACTACCCCCAACATCTCCTCACTAACCCCCCAACATCTCCCTCACTACCCACCAACATCTCCCTCACTACCCACCAACATCACCCTCACTACCCCCAACATCTCCCTCACTACCCCCCAACATCTCCCTCACTACCCACCAACATCACCCTCACTACCCCCAACATCACCCTCACTACCCCCAACATCACCCTCACTACCCCCAACATCACCCTCACTACCCCCAACATCTCCCTCACTACCCCCCAACATCACCCTCACTACCCCCAACATCACCCTCACTACCCCCAACATCACCCTCACTACCCCCAACATCACCCTCACTACCCCCCAACATCACCCTCACTACCCCCAACATCACCCTCACTACCCCAACATCACCCTCACTACCCCCAACATCACCCTCACTACCCCCAACATCACCCTCACTACCCCCCAACATCTCCCTCACTACCCCCCAACATCTCCCTCACTATTCTTCATTTTCGCTGACTCGTGATAAACAAATACGTCTCAACAATCCTTTACTCTCCACTTTACACCATGATCACGTCTCTCAATGGAGCCCTGGGAGTGGCCCCCCATCGAGCAGTGGCCCAACCCACTCTGGAGCCTCCGTGGTCCTTGCGGCTGGAGACCCCAGGGGCCACTATGCCCCCCAGTATGGCCCTAGGGTCACTATAACCCAACTAAGAAAAGACAGACATTTGTTATCGTCAGTAAACACACACAAGAAACATAGACATACCCTTGTATTCAGCCTGGACCCATAACGTGAGTTCCCTGGGGGATGTTATGGGTTCCCTGGGGGTTTAATGGGTTCTCTGGGGGTTGTTGGTTCCTTAGGGGGTTTGAGTTTTTTGGGGAGGTTCTGGGTTTTCTGGTGGGTATTGTAGGTGCCCTCAGGGGGTGTTGTAGGTTTCCTGTGGGTTATGGGTTCTCTGGGGGGCATCATGGGTTTCCTCGGAGGGAGTGATTATGGGTTCTGAGGGAGGTTGGGGGGTCGTGGACTAAAAAAAAGAGGGTTTTAGTCTCCACTTTAAACCTCAGTAACACTGGGGGTTCCCCCATTATCAAACCCCTGATAAACCAGGTTTTTTCGTTGATTTATAAAGTCCTTGTTAATTACAGTGGTCCTGGGGGTTTAATTGGGGGGAGGAGGGAGGGGAAGGGAGAAGGAGGAGGGGAAGGGGGAAGGAGGAGGGGAAGGGGGGGGAGTAGGGGAAGGGGGAGGAGGAGGGAAGAGGGGAGGAGGAGGGGTTATTAGTGATTACGTGTTAATATCGCGTGAGGAGAAGCAGCTGAGAGAGAGAGACGTGCAACATGTGGGCATCTTCACTCTGTAAGACGTTTCGCCCCCTTCCCCATCCCTCCATCAAGCGACTTCATCGGTCCAACATTACGGGATATGATTGTAGAAATTACATTACACAGAAGACAGTGAAAGACGAGGCAATCAGTCCCTCAGCCTAGACCGAGGGACTGACTACACACACACACACACACACACACACACACATACACACACACACATACACATACACACACACACACACACACACCGCACACACACACACACACACACACACACACACACACACACACACACACACACACACACACACACACACACACACACACACACACACACACACACACACACACACACAGGGAAAGGCAAAGAAGACCGCAAACAGAGTATAGTCTAGGTGGCCAAAGAGTGCAATCCTCACTCAAGGAAAAAGATCTTGGGGTGAGCATAATACCGAGCACATCTCCTGAGGCACACGTCAATCAGATAACTGCTGCAGCATATGGGCGCCTGGCAAACCTAAGAATAGCGTTCCGATACCTCAGTAAGGAATCGTTCAAGACTATGTACACCGTGTACGTCAGGCCCATACTGAAGTACGCAGCACCAGTTTGGAACCAACACTTGGTCAAGCACGTCAAGAAATTAGAGAAAGTGCAAAGGTTTTGCAACAAGACTAGTCCCAGAGCTACGGGAAATGTCCTATGAAGAAAGGTTAAGGGAAATCAGCTGACGATACTGGAGGACAGGAGGGCCAGGGGAGACATGATAACGACATATAAAATACTGCGAGGATTGACAAGGTAGACAAAGACAGGATGTTCCAGTGATGGGACACAGAAACAAGGGGTAACAATTGGAAGTTGAAGACTCGGATGAGTCAAAGGGATGTTAGGAAGTATTTCTTCAGTCATAGAGTTGTCAGGCAGTGGAATAGCCTAGAAAGTGACGTAGTGGAGGCCGGAACTATACACAGTTTTAAGACGAGGTATGATACAGCTCATGGAGCGGGGAGAGAGAGGACCTAGTAGCAATCAGTGAAGAGGCGGGGCCAGGAGCTGTGAACCGACCCCGGCAACTACAAATAGGTGAGTACACACACACACACACGGTGGTACCTCCCTATATTATATATATATATATGTATATATATATATATATATATATATATATATATATATATATATATATATATATATATATATATATAATATATATATATATATATATATATATATCCAGTCATCACATTACGTCCTATTTATTGCACTGATAAAACCACTGCATGGGCGAAACGTCTACAGTGAAGGTACCCAGGTACTGCGCATGTGTCTACGTCATCAACTGGACGGTAGTAAATACGACTGATATACAACAGTGATTATTAGACGAACAAGCATCCATTAGTCGGCACAGAATTGGCCAACCTTCCGTGTCTCTCCCGCCGGCCAATCAGCGGCCAGGGATTCCCCTCTCCCTGGCCCAGTGGCCAGTTTCTCCCTTTCCTCCCTATTTCCAGACCCATTTTTTCCCTGCGATTTATCTCTCTTGGGGAAAAGCATGGGTATCTTGGGATTTTTATAGCGGGGGGGATTTCTTTGAGTGGGTATCGGAGGGGGATGATAGAGTTCGGGGGAAGCGAGGAGTGGGGATAAACGAGGGGGTTAAACGTCGCAGATTTAGTAGAGTATCGCGCATGAGGCAGGCGGAGCAAGTCGGTATTACCCAACCGCGAATTATCCCAATACCAGAGAGCGTCCTGGACGCTGATTGGTGCGTGAGGCAGCCTCCAGCGAGCTGATTGGTCCGCGCTGCGCTGGGATTAGGTGTGTATGTATTGTTGATGTAAATAGTGTTGAAATGATTAGGACGTGGTGGAGGTATATACGAAATAGAGAGGTGGGAGGTGGGTCAGTCAGTGTGTGTGAGGCCAGGGTGTTGGAGGTGCGGCAGACACTCATACTGCCGCAGCAGGTGCGGGAGACACACTCATACTGCCGCAGCAGGTGCGGGAGACACTCATACTGCCGCAGCAGGTGCGGGAGACACACTCATACTGCCGCAGTAGGTGCGGGAGACACACTCATACTGCCGCAGCAGGTGCGGGAAACACACTCACACTGCCGCAGCAGGTGTGGGAGACACTCATACTGCCGCAGCAGGCGCAGGAGACACTCATACTGCCGCAGTAGGTGCGGGAGAGATACACTGCTGCAACAGGTGCTGGAGACACACTCACACTGCCGCAGCAGGTGCGGGAGACACTCACACTGCCGCAACAGGTGAGGGGAGAGAGAGAGAGACACTCTCACTGCAGGTGCGGGAGAGACATAATCACACATACTGCCGCAGGTGCTGGAGAGAGACACACACACACTCACACACACTGCCGCAGTTTCAGAACTTGTTGTGTCTTGGTGTGTGTTTGTTATCCGTGTGGAGGTGCCGCTTGCGGCTTCTCCTTCCTGCCCCCACCATGATGGACCGCACCCTCAAGTCCGTCACGCCGCCACCGCAAGCGGCGGCGATGGAAGCACAGCGGCATGCATCTCCGCCGCTGCCGCAGCTGGAGACGCAGCTGGGACCGCCGCCTTGCCGCTCCTCCCGCGTCTACACCATTGAGGACATACTGGGTCGGCCGCAGCCGCAGGAGCAGCCAGCGCCGCAGGTTACCGCAGGAGATACGCTTGCCGCAG